AAAAAAAAAAAAAAAAAAAATTTAAAAAAAAAAACAACAAGCCAGGTGTAGTGGCAGGCACCTGTAGTCCCAGCTACTTGGGAGAATGAGGCAGAAAGATCACTTGAACCCAAGAGTTTTGGGTTGCTATAAGCTATGATAATGCCATAAGCACTTGGGGCAACAAAGTGAGACACTGTGCTATCTCCAAGAAAACAAACAAAAAAAAGTCTTCAAACATAATAACCTAAATGACATGTCATATATGAACCAGGAAAAACATGCCTGAATAAGAAAAGATAATCATACTGACACCAATATCAAGATGAATCAGATGCTGGAATTATCTGACAAGAATTGCAGCTATCATAAAAATGCTTCAACAGTTAAGAGTTCTCTTGAAACAAATAAAAAATATCTCAGCAAAGAAACAGAAGTTTTTTTTAAGTACCAAATGGAAATCATGCAACTGAAATATACAATTACTGAAATAACGCATGTGCTAGATATGCTCAACAGTAGAATGGAGATGACATGATAAATTCAGTGATCTTGGGGACAAGATCAATAGTTTATTCAAGCTAAACAACATAGGAAAAACAACTGAAAAACAGAAGAACAAAGCCCTAGGGATCAGTGGGCCAATGATAAAAGATCTAAAATCCATGTATTATGAAGAATAATGCCCCCTCCCAAAAGATGTTCATGCCCTCATCTCCAAAACCTATTAATAAGTTACCTTATGTGGCAACAAGGATTTTGCAAATATTAAGAATCTTTAAATGGGAAGATTATCCTAAATTGTCTGGGTGGACCCAACATAATCAAAAGGGTCCTAGTAAATGAAAAAAGGAGGCAGGACGGTGAAAATGAGAGGTGAAGAGAAAATAGAAGCAGAAGCTGAAGTTATACGTGAGCTGAGGAACAAATAATGATACATGCTACAAAATGGATGAAGGTAAGAGGTATGTTTGGTCCCAGATAATAGACACCAAATACATAGAATGTGTTCACTGATTGTTTATAATATTAATTTTCACAATGTACTATCTAGTAGTATTCCTTTTAATAAGTATCAATTCTCAAACCAATTATTTGAGCCCTGGATGATCCAGCATTAATTTATTTTATATTCACAAAACCGAAAACATCAGCTTCAAATATATAGAGGGTGCCAAAATATATATACACATATTAAGAAAAAAACTAAATTAAAATTGGAATAAAATTATGTTGATTTCTGCAGTTACAAGAGGTGCTCAAACATGACTTGTATTAATCTTTTGTTATCAGTACATGTTATTACCATTTTAATACAGTTTTTTCCTTTCTAAAAATGTATATACAGGGGGGAGGAGCAAGATGGCAGCCAAGTAACAGCTTCTTTGCAACTGGGCACTGTGAGTCTGGTGAGAGAAGACTCCAGGCATCTCTGGCTGGTGAGATGTACCCAGAAACATCCCTTTGGGGACACAGGGAGTCAGCATGAAACTTCTGGATCCTATGAAGAGGACAAAAGCAGTGGATAACTGGCAAGTGTTTGCATGTGTTCGTTCAGTCTAATCCTGCTGGCAGCTGTAAGTACAGCAGCATTGAGATTGCAAACTGGAAAGGCCTTACCTGTGAGCTGTTTCATTTTTTTTGGACTTGACACTCTGTTGAACAACCTTGGGCAAGAGTGCAGAGGACTGTAAGTGGTATCTAGGGCTGTGGGCTGCACAGTGACATTGTGGGAGAACTGCCCTGGCAAGCTCTGACCCTGGGTCTGCCCTCAGGGTCGCAAAGCAAGGATCAGGCTGGAGAGAGTAATCTAATGACTGAGCAGCCTAAAGGTGGTGACTGAGAGGCCTTATGGCCCTGGCCCTAAGGGGCACAGAGTGAGACCATTTTGGCAAACTGGGTACGTGTATAGCCACTTCAGGAGTGATCCCAGCGACAAGAGCTTTCCTGGGAAGGCTTCTGCTTAGCCAAGGTTAGCAGTTTAAAGTGCCTTTTAAGTGGGCTGAGGAGAGATTTTAGGTTTTCAAACCCTGCGGGGTTTGAGAAAGCAGCAGAGGCCTCCGGTCTCCATCTCATGCAGCCGTATCAGCATTGTGATTAATATCTCATACCCCAGAAAATCACCTGTTGCCTAGATAATATCCAGCAATATATATATACTACTTTTTGTTTTTTCTTTTTTTGTTTTGTTTTTGTTTCTTTCTTAATTTCAATATTTTCCCTATAGGTTTTTTTTCTTTCATTCTTTCTTATCTTTCTTCATTTTTCTAGTTTAAATGTAATTTTTCATTGTTGCCTTTTTTAACAATTAGAAATTCGTTTTTGCTAGTGTTTCTACCCCTATTATTTGGTTTTTCCCCTAATTTTAACCCATAAAGTTTTCTGTTTGCTTGTTTTGGTTTGATTTATAGCATTTTTGTCTTTCCTCTCTACTTTGGGAGGTGAGGTACTATATCCAAACAGGTT